GACCAGGCGAACCTCTCCTCCATCCAGGGGTCGCTCTCTCCGGCTGTCGCTGGGCTTGTTGTCTTCGTCAAGACGTCTCATGAGGCATGGACCATCCTTGAGCGCTCGTTTGCGGCGCAGTCTCAGGCTCGTGTCTCCGCGCTCGGCCGTCAGCTTGGCGAGTGCGAGAAGCTTGATTCCACGGCCACAGAGTTCTACAACAAGGTCAAGGGCCTTGCTGACACGTTGGCCTCCATTGGACAGCCGCTCACCGACTTCGAGTTCAACTCCTTCATCGTCAACGGGCTCGACGAGGAGTATGATGCTTTGGTCGAGATCATTAACGAGCGGGGCAAATCGACTCCCATGGCGGCACATGAGGTCTACTCCCGCCTTCTCCTCACCATGCAGCGTGTCGCGGCGCGCTGCTCCAAGGCCAGTCACGGCTCCCTCTCTGCGAACGCCGTCAGTAAGGGTGGCCGCAACTCGTCCAAGGGGCCACCACTACTTCGTCTTCGTCCTCTTCGGCTCCTCCCACGTCCGCAACCCTACCAGGGGCCGGTGGTCGACACGTCTGTCAGTTGTGTGGCATTGAGGGGCACTGGGCCTCCAAGTGTCACAAATGCTTTCAGCAGAGTTTTCTTGGTCTTGGCAATGACGGCAAGGACACACGCAACTTTGCCCGTTAGGTTGCCATGGCTGATCATCCGGCGCCGCGGAAGCAACAGGGACACACTCAGTCCTACTCCATCGATCCACACTGTTACATGTACTCTAGAGCGACGGAGCACCTGACGAATGAGATGGGGAAGCTTCACACTTGTGAACCCTATCATGGCTCCGACAAGATCCACACCGTCAATGGAGCAGGTATGCACATCTCTCATATTGGTCAAGCATCTCTTCTCACTAGACATGCCAATAGGAGTCTTCAGCTTCGCAATATTCTTAGAGTTTCATCTGTGACACGTAATCTTCTTTCAGTTCCTAAACTCACACGTGATAATAATGTGCTTTGTGAATTTCATCCTTTTGATCTTTTTATTAAGGATCGGGACACGAGGGACATTCTTCTTAGTGGGCGGCTGTGCCAGGGCCTCTACCGTCTGGAGCATCCTGGCGTCGCTCGCGTTTTTAGTGGAGTTCGGGTATCTCCGTCACAGTGGCATGCTCGTCTTGGTCACCGGCCACACCTATTGTCCGTCATGTTTTGCGTCGGCATGAGCTTCCTAGTGTGTCTAGTAATAAAGATGTAGCAGTGTGTGATGCTTGTCAGCAGGGGAAGAGTCATCAACTTTCTTTTTCAGAGTCCAGTCGTGAGGTGAAACATCCTCTAGAACTTGTGTTTTCAGATGTATGGGGTCCTGCTCAGACTTCTGTCAGTGGTCACAGTTATTATATCAGTTTCGTTGATACTTATAGTTGCTTTACCTGGCTTTATCTTATTAAACGTAAATCTGATGTGTTCGACATTTTTGTTCAGTTTCAAAAACATGTTGAACGCCTTCTCAGACACAAAATTGTTCATGTCCAGTCGGACTGGGGCGGCGAGTATCGCAACCTCAACTCCTTCTTTCAGTCACTTGGGATCGCTCACCGTTTAGCATGTCCGCATACACATCAGCAGAATGGTTCAGTAGAACATAATTAAGCATCGTCACATTGTTGAAGCTGGTCTTACTCTTTTGGCCCATGCATCTATTCCGTTTGGGTTTTGGAGTGATGCTTTCACCACTGCATGTTTTCTCATCAACCATACTCCCACTCGTGTTTTGAACATCAAGACTCCCATTGAAGTTCTCCTTAATGAACAACCCGATTACACTTTCTTCAAGGTTTTTGGGTGCGCTTGCTGGCCGCATCTCCGTCCATATAACAAGAGCAAGCTTGAGTTTCACTCCAAGAAGTGTGTTTTTCTTGGTTACAGTTCTCTTCATAAAGGATATAAATGTCTTCATGTTCCCACTAATCGTGTTTATATATCTCGGGATGTCGTGTTTGATGAGCATGTTTTTCAACCACCATCCATGCATTCATCCTCTATTGCCTCTGACCAATTTGACGATGTTGCATATTATCCTATATTGTTGCCTAACCATGGTGCAGGCACTCGACGTGGGGCTCGCTTGGAGGTTTTAGAGGCGCCATCACCTTCGTTGTCGCCCTTGCCTTCATCGTCGCCACCACCCAGTGTGCACGTCGATCGCATGGCGCCGCT